GGGCTCAGGTAATCCACTCACCTCAGCCTCCCAAAGGCGCGGGATTACAGGCTGAGCCACCGAGCCTGGCTGGGTATTCTTTATTGGGCAGCAATTCTCAGGAACAGCTTCTGCCTGTGGCCCCTGCACAGAGGGGACCTGTCTCAAACCAGCCCTGTGCATGTGTGGGCTGCAGCCATGCACACGCTGGGGAAATGACTGAGTTGGACCGGCCTTTGCTCAGGTCATGAGGGCAAAGGGTGGGTGGCCTGCTGGAGGTGAGTTAGGGCATCTGGGGTCAGACTGGGTCCAAGGTCAGAGGTCAGTTGGGAGGCGAGTTTGCAGAGATTAAGAAGCCAGGGCATGTGGGGAAAGGAAGGTGGCTACGAACTTCAGAAGGTAGATTTGCTTTCTCTGGGACCAGCACTTAGATTGTATCCTGAGGCTCCTTTTGAAGTACCCTGGGGTCCCACTCGCAATGGTCTCGAAGCCATCACCAGGTGGCAACAGTGAGCTAAGAGGCTGAGCACCTGCTTTCTTGCTTGCTTTCTTTTTTGGGTTGGAGTCTCAATCTGTCACCCAGGCAGGAGTGCAGTGGCACACTCAGTGTCGACCTGCTGGACTCTGGGGATCCTTCTGCCTCAGCCTTCCAAGTAGCTGAAACTACAAGCACACACTACCATGCCTGGCTAATTTTTTATTTTTTTCTTTAATTGTAGAGCCTAGGTGTCACCAAGTTGCCCAGGCTGGTCTCAAACCCACAGGCTCAGGCAATCCACTTGCCTCAGCCTCCCAAAGTGCTGGAATTACAGACTGAGCCACCAAGCCCTGCCTGAGCTCCTGCTTTCAGAGGGTGCTGAGAGGGCAGAGACCTGAGGCTTCCACCTCAGCAATTGGAGGCCCAAGAAGTGCCAGGGTGCCAGGCCTGCCTTAGAGCACCATGGGCCATTCACTCCACACTGCCCAGCCTCTGCCAGAGTCCCTCTTAGTGTCCGCGTCTCCCAGAGCTGGTAGGCCCTCCCTCTGAGCCCCGCAGCCCTGGATGTCCATTGTGAGGCCCACGGAGGGCAGAGCAGGGAGCATCATGGGGCTGCTTGTGGGGATGGAGGAGATCTCCCATGGAGCTGGCCTTGAACGATCCTGACAGAGAGAGCCAGGGCAAGCGTGTTGGGCAGGAGGGGCTGCGTGGGCAAAGGCCGAAAGGAGCAAAGCGAGTTCAGAGGCAGTGAAGCTGCTCTGGAAGTTGTCAGAGGTGAGTCTGGATGGGGGCGGGTTCTGCTCTGCAGACATTGGGGGGAGAGGCATGGCTGAGGTTATGTCTAGAGGTGGCTGCTCTGGCCGCTTTCTGGGTGTGGAGTGTTTTAATGAGGAGGGAAGAAGCAGACCTAGTTGAGGACTCTCACCCGCTGCCCTCCAGGCCACCCACCTCCATTCCAAAGGTCAGGGTAGTCCCAATCTCTGCAGCGAGTGGTTGGGGATCCGGGAGTCTGTCCTAGGGCCTCCTGGAGGGGCCAGAGGCAAGATGTAGAGTCATTCCCAGTAAGGCCACCAGGTGGCCTCCGTGAGCTGAGTTTAGGTCAGATTCTTAAAGGCAGAGCAGAGAGGCTGAGTCACTCTAATCCAGGGGCTCTCACCCTGCTGTCCAAGAGGTCAGCCTGGGAGCTTTAAAACATACCCATGCCTGACCTCCACCCCAGAGAGTCTGATTGTGTTGGTCTGCTAAGGAACCAGGGCATGGGTCTTGTTTTAAAAGTTCCCCAGTTGATTCCAATGTACAGCTAAAGCTGAGAACTACACGTTCTAAGCAGGAGTCCCTAACTTGAGTGAGCTTCAGAGTCACCTGGTAGACTGGCTGCATTGTGAATTACCGGGCCCTACTCCAGAGCTTCTGCTGCTGTAAGTCTGGCAGTCTCACAAGCTCCCAGATGACATTGGTGCTCCTGGTCAGGGACCACACTGGGGGATCTGAAGTATGTCACCTTCTTTCTGTTACAGTAGCTTCATTTCTTTTGTATTTAGATACAATTTGGTTATTAACAGTGTACAATTCAGTGTTTTTTAGTACATTCACAGAGCAGTACACCCATCCTTACAATCAGGTTTAGAACATTTTTATCACCCCAAAAAGAAACCTTACACTCACTAGTGGTCACTTCTCCTCCTTCCAGTCCCTGGAAACCCCTGATCCACTTTGTCTCCATGAATTTACCTATTCTGGACATTTCCTATAAATGGAGTCACACAACGTGTGGTCGTTTGTGTCCGGCTTCTTTCACTTAGCATAATATGTTCAAGGTTCTTTCATGTTGTAGTCTATGCTAATACTTCATTCCTTTTTATGACCGAATACTTTTCTGTTGAATGGACATAGCACTTTGTGTTTGTCCATTCACCCGCTGATGGACACTGGGGCTGTTTCTACTTTTTTGGCTACTATGAACAATGCTGCTATGCACATTCATGTACAAGGTTTTGTGTGGGCATATGTTTTCATTTCTCTTGGGTATATATCTAGCAGTGGGGATTTGCCAGACTGTTTTCCAAAGTGGCTGTACCCTTTTACATTCCCACCAGCAGTGCATGAAGGTTCTACTCTCTCTACATCTCGTCTATAGTTGTTATTGTCTTTCTTTTTGGTTCTGGTCATTCTGCTGACTGTGAAGTGGTAACTCATTATGGTTTTGATTTGCATTTCCCTCACGACTAATGATGCAGATAATCTTTTCCTGATCTTGTTGGCCATTTGTGTGTCTTCCTTAAAGAATCGTCTATTTGCCTATTTTTAAATTTAGTTGTTTATCTTTTTATTATTGACTTATAGGTGTTTTAAAATATAGTCTAGATAATCTTAAAAATTCTGGGCCTGGTGACACAAAATCCTAAACGCTCACAGATCGGGGAGGTGATTTCCCAAAGTGATGATTCCAGAACCTCCATGACGGAAGGATTCCTTTTTCTGTAGAACACTTTGCCTCAGTAGAGAAGCATACAGATGCACTTTAAATGAAAACCCTTGATTATCTGTTAACGGATAGCTGGTAGTATTTCTTTTGCAAGAAAGCATTTCAAGGCAAGAGGTAGATTATTGTGTCCGTCTTTTGATGGGCTTTCTAATTTCAAGATTGGATATTTATTCAAGGACTATTTTAAAAATAGAAAGGAAGTTCGTAGCATGCTGTCTCAATTCCAGGGAAAGTTCTACCTCTTTCCTGAGTTGCTCCCCTTTTTCTGCTGTGTGGGACTTCCTCCGATGTCCCCTGTGGGAGGTCTATCCACAGTCTTTGCATTTGTCATAATTCAAGGTGAAGCAGGGTCCAGTGACATCTGCAGTGTCCCATTTATTTCTTTGCATGAATCTGCTTAAATACCTTTTTTGGTTTTTATTTTTTCTCCTTTTTTAATGTTTTGTTCAGAATTTGTACATTCAAGTTGTACTTGTTATATCTGTTATGAATGAAATAAAAGCTTAATTGCAGAGGAAAAAAGAAAAATTCTGGGCCTAAGTCTCTTGTCAGATATATGATTTACAAAATTTCCCCCTATTTTGTGAGTTTCCTGCACGTTCTTAGTAGTAGTGTCCTTTGAAGCATGGAAGGTTTACATTTTGATCATTCCAACATCTGTCTTTTCTTTTGGTGCTTGTGCTTTTGGGGTCATGCCTAATCCAAAGTCATGAAGGTTAAGGCCCATGTTTTTGTGATGGTTAATTTTATGTATCAACTTGGCTAGGTCATGGTACCCAGATATGTAGTCAAACATCATTCTAGATGTTTCTGTAAACATATTTTTTAGGAGAGATTAACTTTTAAACCAGCAGACTTTGAGTACAGCAGATTACCCTCCATAATGGGGGTAGACCTCATTCAATAATATAGTTTTTTTCATCTATTCTGTTGGTACACAGCATAGTACATTCGTTGATTTTCAGATGTTAA